TCTCCTTGGGACTAAACCAGTTTACTCAAGGAGAGCAATCTTACACTTTACTATGTGCCTCACCTGTATCCCTGCAGAATTCCTAAGCATAAAACTAGCCCCTCAATTTTAATTTCTGACAGCTGTTTTGTTGAATTTCCAGGTCATCCTGCAAGATGTGATAAAATTTTTAGTCGTCTACATCGTGTTCTTGCTGGGATTTGGTGTAGGTAAATATTACTGGAGAAAAGCACTGATGCTCTGTGTGAGTAAAAAATTTTAGCATTGTTATTCACAAGAATAATGAGATGAGAGCTCATATTTGGGGTTTCTTCTGGATATGAAGTTTAGGTGGGAACAGATGAGTCATTTGGCTCTTAATTACCTGCAGTTCCATTTGGATGTGGGCTCTTTCAGCTCCCTGGGAATCCCTCCTCTGGCTGCTGCTGGGCAGCCCAGGCTCTCTTTCCCAGTGCACTCTGAATTGTTTAGGATAAAATGCCATAAAGGATGACTGGGATGGAAATTCCCTCCTGCTTCTCCTCCCCAGCTCTCGCTGCCTTGATCGAGACGTGCCATGAGGGCGGTGAATGCCATTCCAACAGCAGCCTGGGACCTGTGCTGATGGATCTCTTCAAGCTCACCCTGGGCCTGGGGGATCTGGAGATCCAGCAGAACTCCAAGTATCCTGTCCTGTTTCTTCTGCTCCTCATAACTTTTGTTGTGCTGACTTTTGTTCTCCTGTTGAACATGCTGATTGCGCTGATGGGAGAGACGGTGGAGGACATTTCCAAAGAGAGCGAGCACATCTGGAAACTCCAGGTTGGTTGGGGAGTTCTGGGGAAGTGAAGATGCTCGGGCTAAAATCTCTTGAGCTGTGCCTGTGGTAACTCATGCTGACACAACAGGTTAGGCATTAATGATAATCCCCATTTTTATGTGTGGGTGAATAATGGAAATAACTCATTTCAGTATCAGAGATTTGTATTATGGCTTGGATTTCCAACCCATGCACTGTCACATACCTTTATGACTTGGATATGGTGTTTCACCCTTTTCCTAGGAATCTGTGGATCCCTATTTTCCCACACACACAATCAGTGATGTGCCACGTTGTTTGCTGTTGGTTGTGGATGGTGGGATGGAAGCTCGATGTTGTAATGAAGCTGCAAACTGTATATGCTGTGGAATCCCACAGTGTTGGGCATGGCTAACCAGACTCATTTGTTGTTAACAGAGAGCCAGAACTATTTTGGAATTTGAAAAATTCTTGCCAAAATGTTTGAGGAAAAAATTCCAGCTGGGAGAGCGGTGTAAGGTGGCTGAGAACGACACCAGGGTGTGTTTAAGGTAAAGCAAAGCTTAAATTACTGTGTTATCAGTTCTGCTCTGTAGGCTGCTTCAAGGTTACTTCTCCTCTTTAAAATATTCCTGGTACCTCTACAAATTATACTGGGAGTACAAAAATATAATTTGGGGTGGTTTTTTTTTTCCAGCTGTGACCAGTTGTTTTAAAATAGGGAAGGTGTAGATAATTTTTTGGTAAGAAAACAGGTTTTCATCTTCTTATGTTTTCACTGTGCAAGTATCTGGTCTGCTTGCAGTAAATGTTACTTTGTCATAAACTCCTCTGAATGTTAGCTTAAAAGTAATTATTTTTTTAAATTGATTTCTTTTTGATGAACACCATATTAAAGAATAATGCAATTTTATCAAAAATACTCAAGGTGAGATTCAAGCTGTACTCGAAATGTGTTAAATTATAAAGCAATATTAGTATTATTCTCACTTTCACATAATACATAACACTGCAAGGGACACTCAACCTTTTAGTCCCAGGAATATAAAGGAATAAAAGGGAAAGTGCAGCAATGTAGCTGGGAGATAATGCATGATAATAACACAACTTATACCCAACATAAACAGGATTAATGAAGTGAAGTGGACCGAGTGGAAAACACACGTTTCATTTATTAATGAAGACCCAGGGCCAGCAGGTACTGTGGGATCTTATGACACTGTATTTTCAAAATCTTTCCTTATAAATGCTTTGATGTAGTTTTATACCTTTAAAAAACATAAAATCACACAATCTAGATGTTCAACCACACTTTTATATGGTAGGGGAGCTGAATTATTTTTAAAGATTTGGAGAGAGGGTTGGTTACAAACAGGTGATGATTTGTGACAGGTGTTGGATGACAAATTGCCCCTCAGAAATGCTGAGCAGGAACTCCAAGAGTCTCCTGTGCTGGAGAGCTGTGGAGAAACGAGCTCAGCCTGAGGTGTCCAATGTCCCCCTGGCATCAGGAGCCAGGACACAGCCAGGGGCATGTGAGGATCTGGGAGGCTTGTTCTGAAGTTTCTTCTGGAGCCAATTAGCATTTCTATGGCTTAGAGAATGAGCTCAGCAATAAAGGGGCAGCCAGAACCATTGCTGTGGAAGATATGGTAGCAAACTGATAATTTGCTTTTAAATAAATGCATATTTTTAACAACGCCACCACCACAAAAAAAGATGTGCAAAACTTTGATCTTGCATATACAGTTTCTACCATATCCTGTTTTGTTTACAATGCATTTCTTTGCAGATCCAAGCAAAATTCAAGATGATAATTCAAGAACTAATAGCAAAAACACCCTGAATACGTTTGAAGAAATGGATGATTTGCCTGAAACTTCCGTTTAGCTTGTGCTGTGTTTGATCTGGGGCTGTTCTGAGGGTTAAAAAGCATCAGCAGTGGATGCTGGAAGCTTTGTGGGTGTTTTGGACAGCTGTAACCAGCTGGAACACAACCTTTCAGTGACACAGGCTGATGGCTTGAACCCATTCAGTCAGGGCAGCTGAGCAGAAATCAAATGGACTATTCACTGGTTCAGTTCCGAGCCTCTCAAACCATTGCTGTCCAAGTTTGTGTGACGCCACTCAAACTTGGCTCTAAGATGTGGAACTGGATAAAAAAAAAGGTCAAATGTGAGATATTTCTTCCTTTTGTGGAAAATTAAGGTCATCGTGATCCCAATCTGCTGGTTTTTTGGACTCTCTAACTCATGAGAAAACTCATTTTGTACTCTGACCAAAGTTAACTTCTTGTCATGGAGCAAAGAAAAAAAAAAGCATTTCAGTCCTGAAGACGACGAAATGAAGTAGGTTGTTTTGAAATAACCAAGCTCTGGATGCATTTGTAGCTTTTGCACTGACTGTCAGGGTTACTGGAGGCTCAGCCCCACAGGCTGGAGAAGCCTCCTCAGGTCCCAGTAGCTTTGCCTGCTCTGTTTTCCTCTGTGCAGTCCCCAGGGTGTAATGTGGTGTTTTTACTGCTCTTTATTTATTACTCTGTGTTTGTGTCTCCCCATAAGATAACAGGGCAGAAATATCACTCATGGGGGAGGATATTTCTGACCTCTCCCCACTCACGATGTCTTTACTCTTCCTCCTTGGCTGCTCCGTGCTGTTGCATCTTGCTACGTAAAATAAGTTATCAGCTTGGGTAGTTCTTCTGAATTAATTTCTGCATCCAACCACTTCAGGAAAATAAGTCAGTATTTCTTCCCCAAATGAACAGAATAAGTTCAGTGCAATGCAATCGCAGACTCGTGTTTATTCAGAGAACTACGTCATGCATTTCTGTAGCATTTTTTATTTCACTACCCGTGATGACCTAAGCACTGCGAATTATATTTTTAGTTTTCTATTTTATGTGTATATATAAAAAGAAACATTTGTTCTACGTACTTTGAAATTTCAATCAATACACTGTGTGTGTTCAGTGTCACGGCTTTTCATCAGACCTATTCACGTGGTGCCTGTTTTCAAGGTGCTGTTTTAGGCAAGACTCAGGGGGAACTCAGTTCTGTGTTTGGATGGTAACAAGAATTGCATTGGATTTTACAGCCAAGCCTGCCGTGGGCAAAATGATCCCCAGGACTTTGTTACGGCACAAGAGAGCGTGAGGGGAGGACAGTGCAGGGTTTGGGAATGTGGCCCTGGCTGCCCAACCAGCCTCCTGCAGATGCTGAATCCTGTGTTTCCTACCGTGGATGGATGGGAGCCAGTGGAAACCTTCGGTTATGTTTGTACAGGGCAGAGGAATTCGAGGGGAAGGACCTTCACAGATCATGTAATACCTGAGCATTGTTTGCCTTTCTTAGTAGGAAGTGGGAGTAGGAGAAGAAAAATTCTTGTGGTCTGGGAATCTTTCATCTTTGCTGGTTGATTTTGCATCGAAACTGCCAACGAAGGATTTAGGACTCCGCAGTGCTGTTTGGATCCTTTTCAGTGCCAGTTCTTGTACAAAGTTAAAAAAAAATAAAATACCTCTTCACACATGCTCAGGAGCCAGAAGGACCCAGAAGGACCCGTGTTTCTGTGTCACTGAACACAGGCTGTGCTGTGCTGAGGTCACCCTGGGAACAGGGGAAGCACAGACACCCTGAGGGATGTGCTGTGGGATGTCCAAAACTGAGTGGATAAAACTGAGGAAGAAGCTGAGGGGCTGTTTGTGAAAGTCCTTACTGAGGAAATGCCCTCCTGGTGTGGCCACAGAGTTCTAACACTGGCTCCTGTCTCGAGGCTCTCCCCAAGGACACTGTGAGTGATGACCAGAGCAAGTGGTTCTGTGCTTTTTATACAACGTTTATTTAAATTAAAGAAATAAAAGGTGTAACTCAAGAAACATTCTGTCTTCTGTTTTTATTTTATTGCCATAGGAGTTTACACAGAGACAAGGGAAAAAATACTTTAGATTTAGTAGGAAATAAGAAAGACATCACTTTTCAAAAGGTATAATGTGGGAGTTATCTGGACAATTGGTCTTTCAGTAAATAGTTAACTAGAGTATCCTTATGAAAGTTCTTAATGTTTATCACTAAATTGTCAAATATGTTAAAAACAACTTAAGAAAATAAATTAACCCCCTGTTTTCTTCTCCTTCTCAGTTCCTATGACAGACTTTCTCTCTGCAGATACAGAAGCTTTACATTTCATTTTAGTGCCTTTTCCTCGGGAATCCTGTGTCTTCAGCTTGTTTTTATCTTTGTAAGTATAAAAAGAAAACAACCCCCAAGGCCTCCCCTTCAGCACAGGTGGGGATAGTCACATTTGCAGATAATATCATTTATTATATATCTTTGCTGTTTCTCTCTCCTCAGCTTTTCCTTTGTCTCACATTTTGTAAGTTTATCTGAGGAATCACTTTCAAGGATCTCACCCCATTTTCAAAAGTGGTGGCTGTGGGAGGTTTGGGGTTATAAAATAGAAAAACTATAGGCATTTTATATATAAAGTAGTTTTGTGGATAAGCATCTTCATAAAAACTTCATAAAATATTCTTTCCATCTCTAGGAATCCTTTAGAACAAGTAACCAGGATAATATCCTGGATAATAATCAGCACTCTGACAGTATGTCTCATCTTAAAAGTGCTCAGCGAGGTTAATTAAATTACAATTTAAAATTAGATTCTGCAGTTGTTTATTTATTCCGTGAATTACTGCTGAGTGACCCTGGATCTCACAAAGAGATACACTTTTTAATGGAAAACCCACGATAAACCCTTAGGAAGTGCTCTGCTTTGAGACGGAGGACCTGAGGGGTTTTGCAGTGAGTTTAATTTTCTCTGTTTTCACAAAAGCTTGTTTCTTTTCATAATATGCAGCTTCGTTAATAAATGTTGGATAGACTGGGCAGTTCCCTTGATATGGAATGACTTTTCCATCCAGAGTCAGAAACAGAGGATCACCGTTGTTCAGTGGCTGCCAGTCTTGATCCTTAGGGAAAGGAAATAAATGGGATAGATTTACTTTCAAGTAAATTTACTTTTTGTATATTCTGTAATTCCTGAGTTTATGCTCAATAATTATTATTTGTGCAGTTTATGACAAAAGCTTTCAGAAGAATTCCTTTTAATTTTGGGTGTCTGGCCCTCATTTTCAGGCTTGCAGAAAGAATTCACTGGTAGAGGTGAACTAGAAGGAAACTGCAGATGAATTTTAGAATTCAAAATTAGATTTATATTTTAAAATATAAGCTATCACGTTGTCTTTCTCTTTTCAGTTTTAGGTTCAGAGCTGATTTTAGATTCAATAAACCCATTGGGAATATTGGCATTTTAAATATTTATTGCTAAGATATACAACAATGCAGCAGGAGCAACACAAGAATACACAGAAAATGTCAGAAATAGAAACTATTCTAGCACTTACCTGCAGTTTAGGGTGAATCACAGCAATAATTTCATTGTTCTTATTCCTGGGGTAATCTACTTTCTCCATTATTTTAAAAACCTCGATTGTACACGGTGGAAATTCCTTTCCTAGAAAGAATAAAGGTAATTTATTGTCAAAATTATCAACTGCCTGTTGAAAAGAACAATACATTATTTGTTTTCTTTAGAATGGCTCAAACCATCGGGTTGTCCCCTCAAAGCAAGTTGCAAAATGATGGTGCAGTCACATATTGTGGCAAACAAAGCCCAGGCCTAAATTTACTGCTGAAATTGGGACTTTCCCCTGTCTAGTTCAAAAGATCTATTTTGTAGCTGAAGAAATCAGTGAAAGGCCTGTGTTTGGTAACGCTGCACAGCACAGAATGGTAGCAGTGCTATTTAATCTTGACCATTCCAGCACAATAATGGGAATTCTGACATGCCAAACTGCATGATTTTCCTTCTACTTCCAAAAAAAACCCCCAAAACCCCGCTGATAAAATATACTCTGAAAGAATTTTAAACACCTATTTTGTCAGGATGTACTTTAGGTAGTACCCAGGTCTAACCAAATCTTACCAAATGTATTCACTTTAATCTTAGAGAAACAATTCTCTCCCCCTCCCTTTTGACCTCTTTAAGGGTAAAAATGTCGTAGCCCAACCTATTTTAAATATTCTCTTAAAACAGCCCCCCGACACGACACAGGAAGGTTGCAATCTCTCCTTACCTTCATTAAAAAGCTGCACAAAATCAAGGCCATGCTTGACAATCTTCCTCATTTTGTCCAAAATATCAGCTCTAGCAACACCTTGTGGCTGGGGCCCCACCTCGACACCTGTTTGCAGATGAGGGAGATGATTAACGTTGCAATAATCCATCATAGGCTTACACTGCACAGCAAAAACAGGTGTCTGATGGGTCAGTGTTTAATGTTTTTAAGAGGAATTGTAAAGCACAGTTCTGGGAGTTTTTGCTGATAATTTCACTCACCAGTTGGGTCAGTTAAAGAACTGCGTGCACATTTTTGAGTGTGCTATGAGGGGAAGAGAAAGGGTCAATATAGATATATGTTTATTTCTCTTTTTCTTTTCCTCATCCTGTCTATTCATGCTGCATTTTAGAGAATTTAATAGGAAAAGCAAGCTAATGATTATTTTTTTGTTATGGTTGTGATTCCATACGTGAAAAAGTCAACCACTCCCATGCAGGACATCAGTTCCCCCTTCCTTTGTCACATCATCTCTTCCTGACTGACAAACAGGGCCTCAGCCTGATTTAGAGGACATAAACATTGATTTTCTGAAGCTGTTAGTTCCTCCTTCTCCTCGTATCTTATAAATATTTTCTCCAAAAAGTGAGTGAATTGAGATTAAGAATTTCCATCTGGCTTGTGTGTTTTGCAAGCCAGAACTCTGACTGCGTAAATCAGAACTCTTCAGAAGACTGAATAATCATGTAAACTCGATTCAATGATCATATTGTCAAACAAACAATTACTGGTGATCATAACACAGTGAAAGGAGCACATCTGGAAACAGCCACGTTCAAAATCATTTACGGTGGCTTAAAATAGTCTTTAAATTTCATATTTACCGACAGGGTGCTTTGCTACAGAGCGAGTTGTTGCATATTTCAGGCTGGGATGTTCGATCAGCAGAGCAGGGCAGGGTTCTGGAGCCAGAGCGTTCTGTGGAGACGGTTTAAAGATGTTCTTTGTTATGCAAATGGTTTCAAATGTTGTGCCACAAAAAGATTACTGATGCAGAAGTGATTTACACAATGTCTTCAATATGTTGCCTTTATTTCAGGGCCCTCATGGAAGTAGGACATCTTTAGAAAATGGACAAAGCTGTGTTTGTTGGTCTCAGTTCCATTAACTCGGGCCAGGCAGCTCCACTGAACCACAACTGAGCACAGTTCTAGTCTGGGGCTGCCAGCAGAGGAAAATCTCCTCAGCAGGGTTCCAAAACTTGGAATCAAAACACTCTAAAGCAGATTTCAAGTTGCTTTGGTTTGAGTTGGGGTTTTTTTAATGTTAGATTCTGTTTAAGCCTCATTTCAATCTTCTTTTTTGCCATTTTTGCTGGTTTAGGCTTCTTTCTCCATGACTGCCCACCGTTGCTTTTCATATAATTTTAGTTTTCTATAGCTCAAAATAGCTTAGAAATGTTTATATGGAATATCTATAATAAGAAAAAATTAATATGTTGAAACAGACCTTGTTTTTAAGGAAAAAAAAAAAATTCCACACCTTTGGCTAACCTGGATTTCATCATTGTCCAGGTCACCAGAATTCAACCAGGTTAGACTTAAACCAGCACTTTTGCAAACCTGACTCTACTAAAACTAATCAGCTTCAGGAACAGCAGAATCAGATTCTAAAGCCATTTCACTATTCCTATAAATACTGATGAAGGGAACATTTCTCATTACCCAGTTCCATTATTTTTTTACATGTTATATTTAATGAAATTAATGTTTAACTATTTAGCATGTGTGACCCAAATTTATCCAAGTTCCTGACAGATCAGGGTAAAAGCAGATTAAATTACATGAATTTTCATAGATGTTATTCTAAGCATTCCTTTTTGCCCATCAGTCTTACTAATGCTCAATTTAATACATGAAGATTATGATGATTTAAAATCTGAATTACCTGATATTATAATCAAATTATTAATTATCTCTGATTAAAAAAAAAAGCCATCCTATGAGTAATTAAATATTTTAAACAGTTTTGCAGAATTAAAAAAAATAGTATATTTAAAGAAAGTACGAAATAATATATAGTAATACAACATTACAACTAATAATCTATTTTAATAGTTCATTTAAATTAGTTTTACCTTGATATAATGAACCATTTGAATTGTAAAGTCATCCCTGGAGTTTTCAAGAATAAGGGTACCACCCATGTTAGAAGTGGTGTTGTGAAGGTCAAAAATAAGGTCATAGGCATCATCACTACCTTTTGGACCAAATATATGATTGATTTCCTGAGCCCTTCTCACTTCATATGGAATATCTTCCACCACTGGCCTGCTGTTAATATCAGCACAAAGAAATTAGTGAGCTCATTCCATGGCTTTACAGTCAACAAAACATGTATAGCCTTTTCTTGTGACTTTAATTCTGTGATTGACTGGTGTTTGAAATCACCTATTTAATTACCAAACTCTGAAAATTGGCTGAATTTGTGCTTGGAAAAAGCAAGTGGGATTGTTACAGAAGTCTTACTGTTAAATTTATGCTTCTTACCGAAGCCAGTGGGACTCACACCATTACTTGGAGTAGTATAAGGATTTCACTCTCCTTTTTCTTATTGTGTAAAATCTTAATTTATAACCTTGGAGGTTCTACAGTGAAAGGAATCCCAGGAAGGTACTCCAAACAGTCAGTAGTGCTGTAATAGGACCAGGCAACTTCACAGGATTTACTGAGGACTATTATTTAAAAAATGAAGACAACCTGCAGGTGTCTTAATCTGCTGTTTTTTCAAGTGTTCTATGTTCAAAGCAGCTGAAAGCAAACAAAACCACTTTTGGTTTTTTTGTACGTTTTTCCTAAGTAAACAATTAAAAGAATGGTCTCGATGCTTATGTGTTAACATCTGTTTATCTCAGACATAATAATCAACAAATAAATTCTAAGATGAAAAGACAGATGAAAAGGTGTGCAGGGTAAGAGTAACTATGTCTGCAAAATATATGTAATATGTATTTCCTTCAGTGGTTTTCACCTTTACCATCAAAAGTTTTCTGAAACAGAATTACCTGCTTAACATGCAACTATACCAAGAAGAAGAATGTTTATACAGCAAAATATACCTCTGGAATAGATATCTCAAGAACACTTCAAATCCTATTAAAAATGTAAAGCCCATCACTACTTTACAGTAATTACAGATTGTATTTCCTCTAAAATCATGAGTCAGTTAAATTATTGAGATTTTTTTGGCTCTCCTTTTGCCATAGATTATTTCTAACTTAGCTAATTTCAAGTTTTCATCTTTTACCGTACATAACTGGAATGAAATACATTTCCCTGCTTTGTGTGCCGTTCTTTCAGCCACTCAGATGTCAACACTCAAATTGCTTTTATCTGCCATTTCCTGCGAGCGTAATTGTATTCAGAAGAGCTCCAAAGCTGAATTGCACCAGACGTGAGAAATAATGACTTTGCAACCCAGAACAGTGATCCTCCAATTCACACAAACACAGCTGATCTAATAATAATTTAAAATGCTGTGTTTAAGGGAATGGGTTGGCTGGAGTGTCATTCTACCAGCACTAGGAATGAGTCTGTTAACGCTCACGCAGTTTGTTCTTTTTTTGGGTTAAAGGTCAGTGATTTCAGTTATGTGACTGCACAGTTAAAAGAGCAGTGGAACTCGTGTTAACATTTTAATCTGGAAAGGGTTTTACAAACTACAGTTTCAGAAGTAAAACAACAGAAAGTGCAGCTGTTCTTACCCAAGACTGTCAGGGTCAAAAACCCGGTTGAGATCACAGTCAATATATCTCGTGCACTTCTCCACAGCTCTGGGGTTGGTGAGAAATGGTTTCACTTCCACTCCAGGTCTTTGGATCTCAGCTCCGTTCTCTTGCCAGTGCCTGACCAGTAACACCCCTGAGAACTCATTGCCATGAGTTCCCCCGAAGATACCGACCCGTCTCACCGGAGCTTCAGCAAGAGCGGAGGAGGAGGAGGAAGTCATGCTTTTCAGCAGCTCTAACAATTGCTGAAGGCAAACCAGAAAACAATGGTAAAGTAAAACTTTAAAGTAAAAGCCTGTTTAGGTCAGATGGGAAAGAAAGTGAATGAACATTTCTCGAACAGTTCTCGACTCCCGTTTTGAGGTGGGAGTTGCCAACCTGACCCTCCTCCCTCCCAAGGAGCCTCCCCTCCGGTTTCCGTATTTAGTAACGTCTCCAAGGCTGTTCGTAGTACTGTTACACAGTTCAAAAGTTAACTTTTCCAGGAAACCTCTAATCATATATGCTGTGTAGGTAAATCCTGCACTAATGACAGTAGAAAAGACTTTTTTTTTAATGTAAACTTTAATAATGCACTTAAACATCTCTGACATTTTTGCACTGCAAACTACGTGTAACAAGTATTCCCATGCATGTTTGGTTACATAAATATTACACTATATAAGGGCAGAATAATTCAAAGGGAGCAAAAACAGTAAAATAAGAATCATAACTCGGCTCTAGTCCAGCACGTAATGCTGAAACATCAAGTATTTTAATCTAAAAAACCAAGAACAGCTGAGTTCCTCAAAGCGTGCTGGAGCTTGTACGACCTTTTTTGTTTTCGATATCTGAAGAACGGTGATTAGAAGGAACAGGAGCTGAAATTACAGTGCAATTTATCCATGACTGAACTTACCAAGCGTTCCTGGCTCCACTTCTATCTCGGGATCTGCTAACACAGACCTCTAACACATTGAAACAACTTTGCCAGGGACAACCCTCTAACTTGTGCAGCCTCTTGCTAAAAAGGAAACAGATCTAGACCGTGATGGGACAATAGTTGTGTTCTTCCCCCCCAAAAAAAACGTAGTCAGCAACTTTTCTTCCACTTCCAAAAGCTTTCAAAAAGGCTTCTGAAACTTAAGCCAAAGAGCAGCTGTAACTTCCATCCTGAGGATCAAAGCATTTAGAATAAACAGTCTTAATAACAGAAAATTAAGTTTTACTGCTGTCAGTGACAGAAGGATTTGAAATTAGTATCTGACACACAATATAAACATAAAAAATGTTACACTGCAAGGGAATAAAGAATGTTTATTGAACAATTCCTTGTTATTAAGATTACACTCCAGTGACTGAGAGAGTGTTTGGCTAGTGCCTGGTAGAGGTTTTATAACCCAGGCTGACAGACTGTACGTCTAGGAAAAGCTAAACAGGATTTATCTAGACGAGTTCTGCCAGGAATACATTTCCTACAAAAGTTGCTCTCTGTTTCAGTTTATGCATTCAGACTTGCTGAACCTTACAGCAAGTTAATACAGGGAGTCTGTTTGCTTAAACACTCGACTGTATTCCTCCTGTACTTAGAAGCTGTCAGATATTTAATCAGAGTAAGTAATTTATTAAACAAAGCAGTAAAGTTGTATTTTACAGCTCTGGAC